AAACTCCCAGCCTGTCCCTTCCCACTCCCTCCCCCTTGGCAACCACAAGTTTGTATTCTATGTCTATGTCTATGTGTTTGTTTCTGTTTTGTATTTCTGTTTTTGTTTTTGTTTTTTGGTTTCCACATATGAGCGATCTCAAACGGTATTTTTCTTTCTCTTTCTGGCTTACTTCACTTAGAATGACATTCTCCAGGGACATCCATGTTGCTGCAAATGGCGTTATGTTGTCATTTTTTTATTTTGCTGTTTTTCTATGTGTGGAAAGATGCAAGAATCTGGGGGTCATTGAAATTCTTCCTAACATATGCATCTATCTATCTAAGGGCCTATTTACCCAAACCACAGAGTGCCTCATCCTGTTTTTTTCACCCTGAATTCCTTTCAGAATTCACCATTGGCAGACAGCTACAGTGGGCTGCAACTTAACCCTCGATGAGCAATGCTCTTTGCTTTTGTTGTTGTTGGGCACAGAAGTAGCGGGTATTACTTCCATGTTTGAGGTGAGGATGTCTAAACACGACATCCCAAAGGTGGGAGACAAGGAGAGCAGAGAGTGGCTTCTGACATCCAGTCCACAGCCCGGAAGCCTGCAGGGTGTCAGCCCTGAGGCTCTGGCGAGCTCTGCCCTGAGGACGTTCAACGAAGATTCAGGCCTGGGGCGTCAGTGCTAGCGCTGGCCACCAGGGGGCAGCCGCCTCCCGCGGCAGAGCTGCGCGCTGAGCGTTCCCGGAGCAGACACAGCGCTGCCGAGGTGACTCTGGCCGTGCCCCTGCCTCATGAAGCACACGCGCCTCCTGTTGTGAGAGGTCCTCTCTGCAGACTGAGGTGGGCGGACGCAGCGGGAGAGCGCCGCGATCTTTCCCGCCGTGCTCTGAGCGCGCGTGCTTGCCAGGTGAGCCCCTGTGCGGAGCTGAAACGGCGTCTCCCAGGGGTCTGGGGGAGGGGACAAGAGCGCACAAGCAAGAGGAGGAGGAAGAGAGCGAGCACTGCCCAGAACTGCGGGGCGCTGTGAGGAGGGCTTGGCAGGCACCGGGTGGGAGGGTCTGAGCGTCCTCACTGAGGTGGCGTCTCCTGGGACCAGAATGGAAAATGGGAGCCAGCCCTGCACACCAGTCAGGAGGAGGCTCCACGGGGGCGGAGACTCCCGGGCAGAAGTGAGCTGGCCGGAGGGTAGTCAGTGGCCGGTGTGGCCTGAGGTGGCCCAGGAGGAGAGAGCAGGAGGCGGGCTGGGAGCTGGGGATCAGGGGCTGGCCCGCACCTGTCTGCTCCTCTCTCATAATATTACCGCCAAACTTAGCGCTTACGAAGCATGAATATTTAATAGCTTCCAGTTCCCGTGGCCCCGGAGCGGCTTGGCTTGATGCCTCTGCCTCCGGGTCTCCACGCGGCGGGGGCGGGGGCCGGGGCCTCAGCTGAGGCTTTTCTTCCAAGCGCGGGCACTTGACGCCTGTCGGGCTTCAGTCTGGACCCAGAGCCTTAGTTCCTCTCATCCTGTTGTCAGCGGCGCTCCTTCTGTTCTTCCTTGTGTGGGCCTCGCCAAAGGGCAGCGCCTAGTATCTGTGCTCTGCCCCAGATCCAGGAATACGACAGAGAGATATAGACAGAGACAGAGCGAGACAGCAGGAGGCTGACCGAGAGAACAGCAGAGGGAGAGAGGTCCGGGGACGGAACACGAGGGAATGCGTCAGAGGGGAGGGACAATCCCTTTGTCATTAAAACTTAGATGTGACACCCCGTCATCTTCACGTATTCTCTTGGTCAGGAGCCACTTTAACTAGTGGTTACAGTAGCATGTGTATGCCAGGACTGGAGCCACTGGGAGCCACTGTGGAGTGAATATAGCGATATATTCACTGCAACTCACTCAGAGCAAGAAATTGGGGTAAGACTTTGCATTAATGGGTATTATTGAGATTAAAAGTTAGCATGTGCTCTTTGGGTGTCATAATTAGGGTCTCATCAGGCCCAACGTAAATCTACATTAAATATAACTTAAAAGCCCAAGGGCAGCAGTGAAGTGCAGTGACAGCAGCGAAGGAGCCGTGTTCTCAGTGTTCAAATAAAAGGCAACTCCCAGGACATTTTATGTGTAAGAGAATTTTGCTTAAATAATTCATATTAAAGCTATGCTCCTCTGGTTTTTAAATTCTACAAGGTTATGTGTCTTAATAAAGTAATTACACAACTTCTTTCATTGATTATATGCCCACTGAATGTCAGAGCTGCACGAGCTTTTTGAAAATATTTAGCATCCCTTTCTATCTCCATTTTACAGATAAGTAAGCTGAGGCCTAGGGAGGTCCCCACTTGAACAGTGACACAAATAAAGTTCTCTGACACCT